GTTCAGTTTTTAAAACACACTCACCTGGCTTGTATTCTCACTCTTTGATTGTCATTGTGTTACCAAACATTACTATTGACTTGTCTTAGTCAACTTTGTGACATTGCAACACAATACAGTAAGGCCAAGTGAAAGAAAGGAGCATTTATTTAGATTCATGATTTCAGTTTATGGTCTACGAACACTGAGAAGAAAACAGGATAGCAGAAAGACTTGGTAAAGGAAAATGTGGTCAACCTATGGCTGTCACAATGTGAAGACAGAAAAGAACAGCCAAAAATATACTTTTCCATGTCACACCCCAAGTGGCCTAACTCCAACAAGGCTCCACCTCATAGCAGCACATGCCTCTACTAAGTTCTTCATTAGATGAACTCACTAATAAGTATAACACATCTGTGATCCAATGATGCCCTGAACACATGAGAGTTTTGGGGTATATGTTAAACCTAAAATACAACGTTCTGCTTTTAGTCCCCCAAAGACTCATATCTATCTCATTATACAAAACACATTTGGTCCATTTTGAAGTCACCAAAATTTTAACAGTTGTGGAACTGTTGAGAAGTCCAATTCCAAAGTCTCCTCTGAGTCTCAAGACAAGCTTGTCTGTGCATCCATTTGAAAATCAAAAAGAAACTTAAATACTTTTAACATACAATAATAAAAGATGAACATTCGCATTCAAAAAGGCAGAAAAACGGACAAAGAAATCAAATCAAAGCAAGATTAAAATCCAGTAGGGCAAACATCAAAACCTATAGCTCCATTTCCAGTGCCCAGTCATGTTATGATAAATATATTCTTATTCTTTTTTCAACATGGGTGGATATCATGCTACTTTATTACTGCAATCATTCTAGGTTTCTTCTGATTCCACATAACTGTTAGACATTTTTTCTAGTTCTGTAAAATATGTCCTTGATATTTTGACTGGAATCACTTTAGGTGTATATGTCATTTTTTGGCATCGTGCCCATTTTGACATTACTGGTTCTTCCAATTAAGAACAGAAGATATCTCTTAATTTTTTTTTTCCAGAACTGGGGATTGAACTCAGGTCCTTGCACTTGCCAGGGAAGCACTTATTCCACTGAGCCTTCTCCCCAGCCCCTCTCTTAATGTTCTGAACTCCTCTTCCATATCTTTTTTGATATTGTTATACTTTTCAATACATTGCTGTGATGGTTTGTGTCTAGTTGTCCCCACCCCCGCAAAGCCTCATGCAGTCATGGGGTGGAATTCTAGAGTTTGTGATTAACTTGTGATCCACTGGGCTTATGAGTGTGATTGCTGCTTGGGTTTTTGGGTATTAGTGCTGCTGCGAATAATGGGTATGAATGCTACACCCAGCCTGAGGCAGATAATATGAATGCAACTTAAGGGAGACAGACTTGATTTCTGTAGCTATTTTTGCAGCTACACCTCCCATTCACTTTTGCTCTTTGACACTGCCACCATGATGAAAGGTTAATCTTTGCCATGTGCTGCTCTACCTCGGATCCAGCTTAATATGGACTGAAATGTCCAGTAACTGTGAGCTAAATAAGCCTTTCTTTCCTTCACTTTGCATGCCAGGTATTTGTCCCAGCAATGAGAGAAGAGTAACTAAGACAGAATTTGGTACCAGAGAAGTGGGGTTATTGTTGTGACTACCTGACTATACATATTACAAGTTTTTAGGAATGGTTTATGGGAAGAGATAGAAAACGTTTGGAGATATTGCCTACAATAGAAGTGCTGGAACAGCTTTTGCTGTTCTGTATGGGAGAATCTAGTCAGAGCTCAGAAGATCAAAAGGCTGACAGAAATCTTGCCTGAAAAGACCAGGATGGAGAGGTTTCTTCTAGGAAGAAAGACTACATTTTTTTTTCGGAGTCAGGGATTGAACTCAGGCCCTTGCGCTTGCCAGGGAAGCGCTTATTCTACTGAGCCATCTCCCCAGCCCCTACATTGGTTGTTGGATTAAAAATGTTGTGTGTTTTGGCATGGCAGAAAGTTTGTCTGCATTTTGTTCATGTCCAAAGACTTTGCCTGAGACTGAGATTATGTGCAGGGAATTGATTAATCTTTCAAAAGGAATTTCAAAGTGGTCAAATATTGAGGCAGTGGTATGGATATTGTTTTGGGCTTTTAGTCAGATTTATGTTGAGAATCAAGAGCAAAGAGCTCAGCAGGATGACTTAAATGTGAGTTTGGTCAGAAAGGAAATTTCAATAAAGGGGTACACTGCAAAGATAGAGCTGAGAGGATCTCCATTGCTCAGAAGGAACAAGAGAATCAAAAGGATGGCCTGAGGGCATCACTGAAGGCAGCAGGTCTCCACCCTTTGTAGCCTTTGAACCACATATGTGAGGGACTTTGCTTTGGTAAAAGGCCACAGAGACCCGTGTTCCAGAATGGAGTCAGTGGCTACACCAAGTTCCAGATTGGTACCGGCATCAGGTTCAGAGTGCTCAGTGATCCATGCCCATGACCCCTACAGCCAAGAGAGAAGAAAGCCTGGCTACTGCTCCAGCTGGTAACAGACCTTGGCATAAGCCATGTGACACTGGTTTTAGGTGCATTCAGAATATAGGAGTTCTGAGGTTAAGAAAACTTCCACCTAGATTTCGGCAGAAGCCCTGGGATGCCAGGCTATGTGCCCCAAGAGGGCAGTGTGTAAAGCTGTGAGGGAGAAGCCTATTATGTGGAAACCCCAGTAGTTTGGAAAAGCCAGGAATATTGATCTTCTAAGGGAAACTGCAAAGAGAGCAAAGCCAGCCTAAGAGAGAAGCTATGGGAGCTACAACCAAAAGTCCCATAGGGGCAGAACTAAATGAAGCTTATAGTTTGCCACACATTGCTTTGAATGTTCCACATAAAACTATAGGACTTAATGTTTGCCCTTCTGGATTTTGAACTTGCTTTGTTCCCAGTGCTTGGTATCCTTCTGTGTGTACCTTTTGGAATGGTAGTGTTTATCTTGTGCCATTGAATGTAGGAAATGTTTAAGTTTTCATTTGTAGAGGAGCTCACAGCTAACAGTTTGCCTTAGGTCTTGGAGGAGACTTGGGACTTCAATTCTTAAGCAATGGTGAAACTTTTGGGACTTTGGTAACTCTTAGACTAAAATGCCTGTTGCACAAGGGAATGTGCATGAGTCTTTGAGGGTCCAGGGGCAGAATGTTATAGGTTGTGTCTTGTTGTCTCCCCAAATCCTCATGCAATCATGGGGCAAACATCAAGAGTTTGTGATTAACTCATGATCCACTGGGCTTATGAGTGTAAGTGATGCTGGGATTATTGGGTTTGACTGCATCAAGCAGCCTGAGGCAGATAGCCTAAATGCAACTTAAGGAAGACAGACTTGCTCTCTGTAGCCATTGTTGCCACTGCACCTCCCATTTGTTTTGCTTTTTGCCATTGCCAAAGGTTTCTCTCTGCCATGTGCTGCTCTGCCTTGGAGCTAGCTGAATATTGACTGAAACATCCAGTAACTGTGAGCAAAATAAGCCTTTATCTCCTTCATTTTGGGTGCTAGGTATTTGTGCTAGCAATGAGATAAGAGTAGCTGAGATAATTGATCTTTTATTTCTTTTGTTAGATTGATTCTTTTGTACTGTTTTAAGACACAGTCAGTAGCATTGATTTCCACATGTCTTTCCAGTTGAGCTAATTGTTGATGTGCAACAACGTTGTTCTACTTTTGTGTGCTGATTTTGTATACTGACACTTTACTTAATTGGTTTATTAATTATAAGAGTATTTCCATAGAGTATTTTATGTAAATTATCTACAAATAAGTATGCATTGACTTCTTTTCCAATTTGTATTCATTGGTGTTGGAACTGATCTTGTCTTACAAAATAGGCAATTTTATGTAATTCACCTGAACAGTTGCCTTTCTGTGACACTAAAATTTAAGTCGAGACTTGTGAAATTGACTATTCTCATTAGCATTATAGCTTAGCATGTTCTACAAGTCAAGAGAAGAATTTAAGTCATAGGACTAAGAAAAGTTAGTGACTAGATGAAAGTAAGAGAAGTGATACACATCATGAAGGACCTTTGTAGGGGTTTTTTACTTGGTCATCATTATAGCTACTGGAGTGTTTTATGATTTGATCCCCTTACAGATGTATTAGAAAGTAAGGGAAGTTGGGTGGAAATAGTTCTACCAATTAATAGGTTAATGTAAGGAGATAGTATAATGTTGTATTATGTGTGTGGCATTTTCATACAATGAGGTCTTGATTTAATACTGGTTATAAAATTTGTTGGTCATGTTGCATTACTCAAGTTATATGCCAGTTCTCTAAGGCTCATTTCTCTATCTATGAAATAGAACTAATAATAAGATGAACATAGTAGCTTTTAGGCTATGAGTTGAATGGGAAAACCCATTGCAAAGCAATAAGCCATCCCTGACAAATAATAAGCTCTTAATATGTACTGAACATTAATAGTCCAAGTAAGAGATGATAGTGGTTTAGATTAAGTTGATGATAGCAAATTTAGAGAAGAGTGAATGGAAGTAAAACCTAATTTGAGGAGTTAAAAATCAGGATTTAGTAATGGATTGCATATGAAAACTGAGGGAGAAGTATTTTTCAAGTATTACTCCATAGTTTCTGTGAAAAAGACTGCAGTGGATTTTGTTGCATTTTCCAGTCGGAGAAAGTCTACCTGGTGTGTACTTTACCTCTGCACATGTCTCTCATTATACCATTACAGCAAGGATAAATGAAGGTAGAAGCAATTATCACACAATAAAAAGACTTTGTTTCTCTATATTTTGAATAATTACCAAAACTTTACAAGACATATGGTAAATTTATTTTGCTTTCATACCACAGTGCCGTCATTGTGCAAAATTCTTCAATGTGTATATTACTTGTTCCCAAGTTATAAAATTTGTCAGTGTCTACTCTATCTTGTGAAAGAAAATGAACAATTAATTTTATGCCTTTTTTTAATCTTAAAATGCACTGTAATCATTTCTTCTACTTCTCTTACAGAACAGAGCCTACTTAGTTGACCAGGAGATGAAGTACTGAAGGAGAGTGTCATCCTTTGTTTTCTTTGACCACTGAATATCTACTTTAAAACCCTTAGGCATCATGGGAAAGAGGGATAATCGGGTGGCCTATATGAATCCTATAGCTATGGCCAGATGGAGGGGCCCAACTCAATCTTCAGGCCCAACTATACAAGATTACCTAAATAGACCAAGGCCTACTTGGGAAGAAGTCAAGAAACAAATAGAGAATAAAAGGAAAGGTTCTAAGGCATTAGCTGAATTTGAAGAAAAAATGAATGAAAACTGGAAGAAAGAGCTGGAAAGAAGCAGAAAGAAATTATTGAGTGGAAATGGAAGTTCGTCTAAAAAAAGAGAAAAGGGGAAGAAGAAAAAAAAATCTTGTCGGTTTTTATCATCTTCAACAAGCTCTGATTCTTCAAGCAGTTCTTCAGATTCTGAGCATGAGCAAAAGAAACAAGGAAAAAGGAGAAAGAAAAAGAAGAATCGTTTATACAGATCACGAGAATATTCTACATTAGAATCAGAATCAAGGAGCAAACAGTGTATAAAAAAGAAAAGGAAGCTGAAGGATGAAACAAATAAAGAAAAGTGTATTAGAAACCTTAGTAAGAAAAGAAAGAAGACCTGCCCTGAAGATCAACCATTACCGTCTGAGTCTTTATCAGAATCCGATTACAAAGAGGAGGTGCCAGCAAAAAAGAAGAGAAAGCATGAGGAGCAAGAAAAAGTTGGAGAAAAAGTAAAGAAGAAGAAGCCTCATAAGAAACACAGGAAGAAGAAGAAGAAAGTCTTGTGCAAGTCACAAGTAAGGTTAAAATCAAGAGGAAAAAAACCACAAGATTTCCACATTAAAAGAAGCAAAGTACCTACTTAGAACAAGCTTAGCAAAAGCATCAGGGACCGCGGTTCAATCCCCCAGCACCACATGCCAGCCAGCCCGCCCCCTGGTGGGCTGAGCTGGCCTCTCTCTCTCTCTCTCTCTCTCTCTCTCTCTCTCTCTCTCTCTCTCTCTCTCATAAATAAATAAATAAAAATTTAAAAAAAAAGAAGCAAAGTTTGAAGCAAACTTCAATTGTGAAAGTTAACATATATACCAAAATGCATGAGTTTGCCTGTGTTGTAGAATTAGTCCTGGACTTAGTTGCCAGTCAAATACCACTGTGCCACAAAGGGTCATAATTGTTGCCTGAAAATTAAATACAGGATTTGGATTCTTTGTTTATTTGTCTTTTCTTCTGTGGTTATTCCTTTAGGAAGTAAAAAAAAATCTGTTGTCATTCTATTAAAAACATTTAGAATTAAAGTAAAATGTTTTAGACGATGACCAATAATTTTGCTCAAAATGTGTCTACTGTTATATATATGTAATTTGTATACATCATTAAAATGTAAGCAGAAATATCCTGCCAACTATAATTGATGTATTTTGAAGTAAGAACTTAATATTGGAGTTTCAGTTTCTTACTTTTATGTTTTCTTTTCCTTTGATGAAATTTGGCTAACATGGGAAATGGTTTTTCAGTGGAAAGTGGTTGGAAGTGCTTGCTGCTTTGGCTAGCTAAATAGTGTGCCTTTGATATTTACAAAACTTCTTTTAGCTGGTGCAGCTGCTATTTTTTTTTCTTTAGTCAAATTCTGACTTGTTCTATTCTGCTTCTAGTTAAAAAGAAAAACAGTAGGTTACATTATGGGTAATTTCCCAAATCTATGAAATTTCCCTCCATTTCAGCACTGTTCATTGTACAGTACTGAATAATATTCAGCAGTAGAATATTACATGATTTGAATTAATTTTGATAACCTTTAGAAGGCAATCATTTTAAATTGCCCCAGTGTTTTCTCTTGTAATAAAAATTGTGATTTTTTTGCATGTTTTATGTTGTTAAATTGTGAAAACCCAATAATATTCTTTGAAATTCGTAACGCCTTTTTATGATTTATGATTTGCATAAAAATATCAAGTTTGTAACTTCTTAACATTACCCTACTAACTTAATTACTGTGATTAATTACACACTTGCTGAATAATTAGTGTGTAAAAAGGTTTTTTAAAAGCATTTAATCCCTTCATATTGAAGCTGCTTCACTGTAAGCAAGTTGAGTGATAGACCTCTAGTATGCTCTGTATGTTGTTATACAAACTACTGCCAAAATCAGTAAATATGCTATTTAAAATTTTATTTTTTGCATTAACATTGAATTAAATTAAAATGCTATCTAGATGTCAACAACATTTATCATCTTGTGTTCATTTTTTATTAAGATTTGGTGCCTTCCATCTGTTGTTGATTCATATTTATCACTAATGTTAAAATGTTTTGAAAATTATTTTTATTTTACATTTTTATATGAGTAACTTCTATTACAAAGGATATAATAATTGTAATGTCATAAGTATAGAGTATTTTGGCATAAAAAGAAGTTCAATAACTATCATTTTAAAATAGCTACTTTCATGCTATATTCTGTGAATTGCAAATAAAATTATAATTATATTATTAAAAATACCTGTAAAAGGCCCAGGGAGATGGCTCAGTGGAATAAGTGCCTGTCTAACAAGTGCAAGGGCCTGAGTTCAATCCCCAGTTTCGGAAAAAAAAAAACACCCTGTAAATAACATGTTGGCTCCCAAAGTTTCTGAAGTGAAAATACCAGAATCTTCTAGTAGTCTTCTTGGAAATTATGGTAACCTCATATTTGATCAAATTGGAGCTTGATAATTTCACTGTTCAGTAAACATAGATCTGGGATGGGGAGATGGCTCAGTAGAATAAGTGCTTGCTTGACAAGCACAAGGGCCTGAATTCAATCCCCAGTTCCACAAAAATAATAAATAAATAAATAATAAAAATAAAAGTAGATCTATATCTATATGCTGATAAAAAGTGATATTTAAGGCACATTTTGTATCCATGGAGAGTTCTTGAAGTTTATTGTTCATTAAAATGTGTTTTTAAAAAAATTGTATACCTTTGCAGAAGATAGTAAAATTATTTACAGCTTAGAAAATGTCTCTGTGTTCCTATTGACTTTTCACAGTCTGTAGTTGGGCATTGTGGTTTCACATCTAGTAGAGGACTTGAAAACAGAAGGATGTGTCATTTCCATACTGGAGCAGATAAAAATCCTGCGAGCCCTCTGTGAACTAAAACCTTTGGCCTAACTTCAAGATGGACACAAGGTGGAATTTGAATTTACAGTTTAGAAAGGCCCTGCCCTTGGAAAAGTGATGGACTTAGACTATTTTTTGAGTAATAAATAAAACTGTTATATGTGTTAAGAAATGAGATTTTGAGTTTTTTTCATTGTTGAGGCATCACCTAACTTAATCTGTACAATAATCAAAATTTAGACAATCTACTTCATTGTCTACATAAAAAAGTTTTGCACCCTCTATTTCATCTTCTCATTTTCTGCAGATTGACCTAGAAAAAAAGTCATTTATAGCACAGTAAAGTGAAATGTTAATTTCATTGTTTTCTGCAGACTGAATGAAAAGGAGTATATTCTAATATATTTTATTCCTCTGAACATAGTACATTAAAAAATGTTGGGAAGGAAAACTTTAAATTACTCATAGATGCTTGATAGGAAAAGATGAATGTTATTTTTAGATATAAATATGAGTTAATGGACACAAAAGTGCTTTTTCAATATGTAAAAAAACATGGATGATTAAATTTAGATGAACATTAAATATGCAGTCTCCAGAATAGAAGGAAAATTATTTTGTCTCTAAGTGAAAAGCACTAAAAGGATTCTTGATGATTTGTTTTCTGTGATTTGTAAGAATAGGTCAGCCATGTCATTTTAGCAAGTTTTAACAGTGGGAAAGGAAACTCAAAAAATCAATAAGAAAAAGAGATGAAAAAATCAATGAAATTCCAACTTGGAATTTAATTTTGATCACAAAAAGAATTTGAATGCTATATTGAAGATAAAAGTTTAGATTGGAGTAAAAGAGAACAAATAAAATTTTTTTCAGTTTAATAACTTGCAATCACTGGATGATCATAAATTTATTTATTTATTTATTTATTTATTTATTTATTTTGCAGTACTGGGGATTGTACTCAGAACCCTCCACTTGCCAGGCAAGAGCATGTTCTACTAAGTTATCTCCCCAAATCCATAAATTTATTTTGAGGAAGAAGTTGTACATGTGACATTCCATTACTCATTGTCCATTTGGCCATTTTTATTTTACAAAAAATTCATCTGAAGTTTCTGAAGCTACTTGATGCCTCATGAATACTATAGTCAGATATTCCAAAATACCTGCAGGCCTTTTCACTCTTTTTAGGCTGCAAGCAAGGTGTGTTCTCTCAACACACAGTTATAGAACTTTTTCTTTTTTTACTGTTACATGGTATATCCGTAACTTGCCACAGGTTTATATTCACGGTACATAGGAACTCTAGTTATTCAAAATGGTTCTTAGCTGTGCACTAGATTGAAACTCTTTATCGAACATTTCTTGCAATGTAACCCTAAGTAAATTATTTCGCCACTATGTGAGTCAGTTTCCTCAGATATAGAATCAGAAAAAAATTGTGTCTATAAGACTATTATGAGAGTAAGACAAGTAACACTTAAAATCATTTAACACATA